GGGGGGGGGGGGGTGGAGAACCCCACACAGTTCCAGTGGTTCAATAAAAAACAAGGTTGTGAGGGCACATGGAGGTGGTAATTAAGGGATGTGCATCCGTCTGTCTTGCCACAGTTGTGCTAACTTACTGGTGCAAATCGCAGCTGTGCCTGTTGATCTAAGAACTAACTTGCCATTTCAGCCCCCAGCATAGATAGGAAGTTAATCTCCTAGAAGTGTATTCTTCCCAAATCGAAATTATGTTGAACCTTGGTGTAATTGGGCTCAGTAGTATGTATGGTCAACCTATAAGTTCAATGAGATAGTGTTCTAGCATCAGTGTTCCTTTTTTTTAAAAAAAAAAATTATGCTGTCTTGTGCAGTTAAAACTAAAATCATACTACTTCATAGAAAAATCTGTTCTTAGTTTTGTAATTTCCCTGCTTATGTATTTGCCCTGTTGGAATCTATCAGTTTGTAGATACTTTTAGTCATTTATGGTGACTGTGATTGTAAACAATACGTGACTTTTAAAAAAATGTTTCAATGTCAACTCAAAAGAGTTAATGCAAAACATTTTGGTTGCAATCATATACATATTTATCTCAGAATAAATCTACTGAATTCAGAAGGAACTTCCTTTTGCATAAACTTGCATAGGACTGTAAATTAACTTTCAGCTTCTAGTTTTTGTACAGATGTTGAATTTGTAAGAGTTAACTGAAGTTGAAATGCAACTGGGACAGGTCTGAGCCTTCATAAATCATACAGGAGAATTTTGGAATTACTGCTTTTACTTTGATGTGACCCAAGTACTGTAGTCTGAACACAGTTGGGTTGCGGTAGGCTCCAGACCAGTCGTCTTTTTCAGACACATTCTTCAGCAAGACCTACGCATCCTAAAACAGACAAATTTTCTTTAAGATTTGTGTAATTTGATGAAGCTGTTGCACACAAATTAATGGAATTTTTACTGCAATCTTACGAGTGTAGATAAAGTCCATTAAGTAAAATGAAACTAGAGATTATTTGTTCTGAAAATCTTCCCTCAATTGTGGAAATATGTGAATTGGGCTTTGAAAGTTACAATATAGAATTTGTAGTTGTTATCTTTAGGAAATAATTTATTCAAAGTTTTCAGTACTCTTTTGATTTTAGGGATTGTTTAAAGATCTTTTCATTTAAATTTATTTCTGCAGTTGTGAGTTTACAAAAAGTTAACCTTTTAAAATCAAGCTTGATGTTCATAAGGTTCTAACAAGGTTCAGCAAGTATCACAAAAGAACCTTTGAGGATAGTGATTTCAAGCCTTGATTTGGGCAGTATGTCAAATGTGATTTTCTTTGTCAGGGCCATAAGACACTAATCTGAAAGGGAAAGCATGGAAAATAAATTTATCACACAGTACACAACAGTCCCTTGGAGTTGAACAGATTGGCTGGAGAGTCCAGCTTTTTTGGAGGGGGGGGGGGGGGTTTCTGAAAATGCTAGCATTGGCCTCACTTTATGCAACAGAAGTGTTGAAAATATCATTTGGGATTAAGGCAAAATATATGGCAACACAAACTATAAGAAATATTGTTTTTAGTCCCATGTATTCAAATGAAGAGATGCCATTTTAGGATAGTTTGAGGGTTCAATGGTGGGCAAATCTGAACCATCTTCCAAATTAATGTTAGAATATTACTATTATTTAGATTTTTTATATATTGTTAATCCTTTTCCTTGTGTGCCATACATATACGTATGTATTTTATTGTCTCAGGTGAAAAAATCAATAGTAATTGTGTTAAGCAAAATAATAAAGATCCAACCCTGAAGCCTGGAGTTTGAAGCTTTTTTATATAGAGAGACTAAAGTACTAGCATCAGTACTAAATGGCAAGGGATTTTTCCTAATATATATAAATAGCCAGATTCTTAAGGGTAGTAAAAACAGCCTTGGAGCCAGAAAAAATAATTTTAAAATAAAATAGCAGAGCAACCAGTGGCGCATTCCACTCCAGATAGACAGCAAGTCAGAAAATTGGGGGTGGGGGGAGGTTAGGGCAGGGGGCATAGAGGAGAAACTATTTCTGGAAACATTATCTTCTCATGATAAAATAATATCTGGCTTCCGGAAAAAGAGAAGCTGTTAGTCAGCCAGCTTTAGCATGTAAAAAACACTTTCAAAGGCTTAGAGTATGTGGAATATTTTCATTTCCCACTGAAAATGCATGCTCTGGGTGAGCAGAGGGCAGCTCCTATAACATCCTTCATTATTTATGGAATCGTAGAGGCGGATCTTTGTTCTGTTTCAAATGCTGGCTTCAGCGTGGCCGGAGCAACATTTTTTGAAATCCTGCCGTATCTTTCACTGCAGCAAAATGTTGGTTGTGTGTAAATAGATTTTCTCTTTCTCTTTCTCAGCTTGTCCAGGACTTCAACACCCAGGTGGCTCTGTACCGGGAATTGGTGATTTCCATTGGGGATGTCTCAGTCAGTTGCCCATCATTACATGCTGAAATGCACAGAACACGAACCAAAGGATGTGAGATCGCCTATCAGGCACACCAAAAGCTCTCTGCAATCTCTGGGTAGGAGATTCTTTCCATCTTCCCAGTTTCAGTCCACTCGTCCAAGTTGTTATCAGTTCTATACAAGGCTTAGGAGAAAGAGTATTAGCTTGCTACTACTGGATTTTAATGGCCTGGATTTTAGTTAGGGTTTAATTCCTTGCTCCGAGCTGGGTTTTGGGATAGGAAAGCACCTCTTTGGTGTTTAGTAACAGCTCCCAGGATGTTTGGGGGAAAGCTGTACTATTTAAAATAGTTTGAAACTAAAGGCATGTTGTAATGTGCTACATCATGGAAATGCAAGTTCACAGTGGAGCTGAGATGATGAGTCTTTGATAGATGCAGAGGGACTTTTTAAAAATCCATTTTAAAATACAAAGTCAAAGAGTGACATTATTAAATCAGACTCTATTTTTTAAACTTTTATCATCTGTTAAGTAGAAAATAGCATCCCAGATAATGTGACATAATATCCTTTCAATTACTGCATTTTGCCTAGCTTAATTACAGCTAAAACAGCAAATCACTCCTAAACCAATATAATAAGCAATATGTATATGAAAGCACAGTTTCATTCTTGAAGGTGCAGTTTACATCCATAACAGCTATGTTTATGCCCATCAGTTATATCTAAGGTGGAAAGAAAATTGGAATACATTTAATTTACATTGGATGTTCATTTTATGTCTTCAGACTTGGGATACTAATTGTACCTACAAACAGGACTAAACATCTGCTGATAAAATTTATTTATTTGACTTTTAGACTGCTTGCTACCAAAATCTCAGTGTACAAAAATCAAGCACATTAAAGCAACAGATTACAGAATAAGATAAAATAGTTAAATGGTGATTTAAGACATTAAAGATATAAAGTAAAATTTACATTTTATACTTAAACATAGTTAAAGGTCAACTGAAAAGCGTGTTTCAAGCCTTCTTAAAAGGCCAATGTGGGAGGCAGCATTTATTTCCCATTGGGAAGCAAATTCAGCATAATCAGTCATACCACAAAGAAAGTCAGGTCCCAAGTCACAACAAGGGGAACCATCTGTCACTGGAGATGGACTTCCCCAGATGATTTAAATGATGGGAACCTTGCAGGACAAGGCAATCTCTTAGGTATCCTGGACCCAAACCATTCAGGGCTTTAAAAACGACAAGCAACTCCTTATAACTGTACCCAGAAGTAAATCGGCAACCAGCGTAGAGATTTCAAAATTGTTGTAACTTTGTCTCTGCAGGATAGACTGAAGACCAATGTGGCTGGAGCATTTTGTACCAGTTGAAACTTCTAGGTTTCACACATAGGTAGCTCAACACACAGTGCATTACAGAAGTCAAGCCTAGAGGTTACAAACAGGTACACAGTTGTTTTTAGATCATTATTTGGAAATGGATAAGCTACTGTATCACTTGAAGCCTGTAATAATGCTTCTGGGCACAGATTCCATCAAAGGAATCCAGAGAGGTCTGGATGCAGAATCACCCACAATTGGCATATCTGCTTTCTTTGGGAGAGTTTGACCCCAGCTAGCACAAACCTAGAATTTTGGCCTTCAAGGAGTACTTCTGTCTTATTTGAATTATATTTCAATTTATTTTTCCTTCTACCTATCTCAAGTCAGTAATAAATCGTAATTAAGAATCTACAAGCATCTTAAATACGTTTCCTGTTACCATAGGTACTTACAATTACATTGTAAATAAAAAAAAATTAAATTGTAAATAAATAAATAATTAAATTGTCCTATCTTGTTGCGGTTAAAGCAAAATTCTAAGCTTTTGCTTTAGTAATAGTTGAGTAATTTTAAATGTCCTTGTCACGCTATTCACTTTTGGAGACATAATGTTGTTTTATACAGATACATTTTTAGTACTAAGGATGCAAAGGTTTTAATACTAGGGATACAGAAGTACATGTTTCTGTCATCAAACATTATTGTCATAATTGATTGGCAACAGTTCCATTTGCTTCAATAGGCACTCAGTGGAGGCTTTTGTAATCGGTTCAGCAAGCAGCAATAAAATGATGCAAGTAGCAACCTAAAATACAGCATTTAAAAATGGAAAAGTGGCAAATGGAAAGCAGAGACACCACAAAACATTACGCATGTAAAAACAAGTTTGTAAAAGTGTGAGTAAATGCTAGCTATAATACACAACGAACACCAGTAATTGTCTATGTTGCAGATAATTCTGAAAACCCAGAAACTGCCTTATACCCCACTACAGTCTGTTTTTCTGTTTTAGGCTCATATAGTCTGCTCTGATTGACAGTATCTCCAAATCTCAAGTAGAAGACTTTTTCATGAAGTACCACTGATTCTTTCAGTGGAGACACCAAGTTAAATGTTGGGCCATCATTATGGCATGCTCTTCTACTAAGCTAGGAGCCCACACATTGGTGCTTAACCTCCATTGCTTTTATCATGCCATGCAGTGCAATATTGAGCATATATTTTCCAAAGTAGATGAGTCAACTAGAAGAGAATTAGGATTTAATTTCAGTTTTGCTTGTGCCAGAATGCTGTATTGGGTTGTGGCCCTTAAATAGATCTCTGTGGCAGTTACACAGGTATGAAATCCAGGGGTCCAAATTTGCTTATTCACACAGAAAAAAATGCTGTTGACATTTTCTTTTAATGCATGGTAGCATAACTGATGTAATCCTGCTTCCAACCTTCGCTACTGGCTTTCAGGCTGTAGGAGGGATTAAAAATGCCCTTTTACTTATACAGCAATCTGCCCATGGCGCCTGAAATGTTTATTAAATTAAGGGTACCTTGAAAGGTCTGAAGTAGGAGAGATACCGCTTCAGTTTCCCTTAGTACCATTTGTTCATGCTGCCCTTGTGATCTACTTGTTTGCCAAACACCTGACCCATCATCCACATTCCCAACCAGCCGAGGTGTCACACTTGGAAGGCATCTTTAGAACAAACCTTTGTGAAAGTCCTCAGAGTGAGACATATGGGTAACTAGCTGATCCAGAAAGCAGGTTGGAAGAAGGGTAGACAAGGTCTTTCTTCATCCTATTGTCTGAAGCATCCGTTTCATCCTGTCTAATGGTAGGGCTAGCCCTGAATAAATGAGCAATTTTATTGTTTGCTCATTCAAAAAACAATTGTGGAAATAATACTGTCTTCTGTAATTTAAGTGCCCTTTTAAAAAAAAAAAATAGTTATATACAGGTAATTTTAGTTTCTGCAGTTCCTTTTATAGGATTGCTGCATGCCTCATGGAATATCACTGAATTGTGACTGATGTGTGATGTGCTAAAAAGCTGAGGACAAATTCTCTTGTGGATGTGCTTTAAATTGGAATTTCTACACTGCTAGTAAAACCATTTAAAACTAATTAGTCCCAGTTTCCTAAAACAAGCAAAAATAGAGAACTGATTATAGACATTTATGTGATTGAAAAAAATAAGTAGACTTATATCTATCGTGAAACTGTATTGTGCATTAAAAATGTATTTTAAGGAAGTAATGCATGATGTTTAGAGAATATAAACACCTAGCAGGGTGTTTGAATAGAAAACTATACCTGAAAACTTAATTTAAATCATTAATAACATAGCAAACAGGCCAGTGGTGAGTTGTGCTCTCTATATGTGAATGCCTCAAAATGCTGAATATGATTTAACAGTTAAAATGTGGCTGATGTTTTCCAGCCATTGGGTTATGGAAAGTCAGGTGGGTCTGCATCTTCCCATGAAAATCTTTTCACGAGACAGGGTATGCAGCATTGCTGTGGTCTTCAGCTTCCTGGCTGTGGAAGAAGGTCTTGTTTCTCCCCCTTGCTTTAAAAGAACAGCTTAGTTGTACACCAGAAAAAGATTAACAGGGTGCTTTGTCTTTGGAATAAGTGATAGTTTTTAAAACGTTACTCAGTGCTGAGAAATATTGAAATGATAAATGGAAAGAAGTGTTGCTTTGGCTCAGCCTGTGTCACTGGAAGTAGACTGAAGACTGGACAGATAAAAGAAACCAATTGCTTACACAATCAATATTTAATTTATACTGTTGGTTGACACAGGATGCAATGGTGGCCATTGGCCTACATAGCTTCAAAGATTGATAGCTATAGAGCAAGTTGACTTCATGGTAGTACTGTTCAGATGAGTATTTATTATTTAATTAAAGCATTTTCCCATTCTCTTCAGCCTAAAAGGCTCCCAGAATGGTTCGCAAATAGTGTATGTGAAACAAAACTGCCTTTGCCTATCGGCTTATAGACACTGTTAGAAAGGAAGCTAGGTTGGGAATAAACAACCAACCTAGACGTCATTAGAGTCTTAGGAGTAAAGTTAAACAGAGAGTAAATTCAGGTGGGAATGGAGCTGGATTAAAACAGAATGGATTGGCTGTTGCTGGTTTTTCTCTGGTGGCCTCAGTAATCATTGGTGATAGCTAAAGGAAGAACACTCAGTTGGAGCTGTATTCAGGCATGATGGAACATATCAGTGAATACCATTTGGAGATCAAGAACAGGGGAGGACTTTTTTTTTCTTTACAAGGGTATGTGACAGCCATGGTTAGGAAAGAATACTGGACTATCCCCTATTCTTATGTATATACAAAGACACAAAACAGTGAACCTTTTCCAGAACTGTAGTGCACTTGCTTCAAATCTATATCCCATGCTTTAACAAAGTGAGGAATAGCTATTGCTAAAGTGGGGACTAATTAGCCCAAACAGCTATTCAAATCCAAGGCTACAGACTTCATTTTTCACACTCCCCTGTGCCCATCTCCACATTACATTACTAATCCCCTAATACATGGGCAGGTACACTGTTTTCAAGAGTCCTAAAATAGACTGGGGGAGTCGACATTTGCCAGATACAGAGCAAAAAGAGGCATTGTGAAAAGGGAAATGCAGAATTGAAACATAAGAGGCTTATGCTTACTTTGTTCCAAAGCAAAGAAGTGCAAAAAACCCCCCCTCAATTTCTGAGTGGTCAGGGATAGTTGGAAAAACACTGATTTTGCAGTTACTTGATTACAAATTCAGATAG